GAGATAGATGGAAGAAAAATCACAAGAAATATTTTTTATTATTTGTGTTGATTGAAAAAGCACTTTGCTTTTGCTTAAAATTTTCTTGAATAAATAAATATATGAGCATTTTTTCTGAGATCTGCAAACTGATTTAAAAAATTTTGATAGAAGAAAATTTCTTTTCCATTTATTGTGCATCATCAACTCGTAAAAGTCTAACTGCGAAGGAAACCATTGTCCTAAAAATATGCATACTCACTTACTGCTGTTTCTTTTACACCTTACAGCTTAAAAAAGTTTACCACTGATATGTACTGAACAAGGATTCGAAGATTTAATTTGCCAACTTCGAATTCATTCCACCAAAATGAGCTACATAACAAGAATACAAATTCAGTTAATTTTTTCGGTATTCGAAATACTAACTTGTAACTTTTAGCAAAAAAAAACCGACCTAAAAAAATATATATATATATATATATTTCATGATCCAATGATCGGATCTAAACCAGACTAGTACGGGACCACCTATGAAACACTACCTTCGGATGCAAATGAAAATGAACATTGAATTTCTTTTTTAACATTTCTTAGTACTTTTGAAAGTTGAGCGCATCTTGTGCCAATAGAACTTTTTAATAAAAAGTTTTTATTAAATGCGTAATTTTTAAGCGAAAAATCGGTTCTCGTTGTCCAAAGCTATGCGGTATCATACATAAAAAAAGAAGAATTATTCTGCCGAATTGTTAACCTCCTCCTTTTTTGGAAGTCGGTTAAAAATGTTTGAGTTCTTTTTTAAATTTATGTGAACATTTAAAGTGCAATTTATGAAAATTTTTAAAACTTTATTTATTTATTACATACTGTACATAAAACTGGCAATATGTAAATTACATATTTTAAAGAGCTTATTATCTGAAGCGAATTTTCAGTATTTTCTGGTGATATATCTTTAGAAAATTAAATTTGAACCGCCGAGAACTTCTAACCCTAACTATTGTCCAATGTGGATCACACATTGTAGGAATGTGTGTGCTTGAATCCTTGCCACCGATCCGAAGCTTACGTCCTCCCAACGCTCCTCCCTGAGAGTAAATACGCACTGAACTTGGCTTAGTTGGGTTTCTAAAGAAACTGTCAACCGCGTTTACGCGTGGCTTATGGGTCGCAAAGCTAGGAAGAACAAGCTTACATACTTTGCCGAAAAGACCAGGGGTAAAACAAAAAGTTATTTACAGCAACATATGTAGGTTGGGAGCCAGCAAAAAGAGTGAGCGAAGTGGTGGCAATAACATTATACGCATATGTTCTCATTGTTGCACACCCGAGGCTTATCTGTCAATGACTTGTTGTTGGCAAGGATAAAAAATAGGAAAATGTACTTAAAAGCAACAGCAACAATGGCAACTGTTGCTAATGCGATGCTGACTACGTTTGTTTGCGACTCAAGTCCTCGGATAAGTAAACAAAAAACGCCGAGAATAAATAGTAAACAAAAAGGCGTACGCCAACAGGCGTTGCAACAATACATAAAATTATTACAAAGCCGACATTGGAAGCGCGAAGGACTAGATGATGGTGCGTGGGGTAAGAGGCTTTCAGCAGCTGAACATCAATTGGTAGCACCACTTTGCCGTAAATGAATATAAACAATTGTCGCAAGTGTGGAAAGCAAAAAATACAAACACACACACACATACATTATCAGTGGCTTTAGTATTTTCAAAAGCCGCATTCGGCTTTTGCTTGCTATATCTGTACACATCCTTCAGTGTTAACTTTAAAGCGACGCGGCAGACCAAAGTGAGAATGAGGCTTATGTAGATAAAATGTAAAATGAAAGTGAATGTAAAATTAAAAAGGCAAGTGGATGTGAAAATAAAAGAAACAGACAGTAAGTTTAGCAGATAATTGTATTTCAATTGGGTTTGCGAATTTGAAGACCACAATTCAAAGATGGTTAAGGAACTGTTGCGAAAATACTTACGAGGGCAAGCGGAAGTAGCATATGCTGTATTAAGCAATTGAAGTTTTAAATTTATGCTGCTAATTTGTTTATGTTGCAACTACACTTGAAAGTAAAGAAAGTAAATTACATTTACAAATACATATACTGAAAGCACTGGACAGTCCATGGTGAATTGTCGTATGCGCTCCTTAAGATAATAACAAAAGTTTCATACACATAAGTTTTAACTTTTTCTCATAAATTACTAGAAACTTCTTATTTATAAGAGCGTTTTTCATGTATGCAATTACGTAATAGCCGCTAGCAGCAGAACGAGAGTCTAAGACGTTTCATCCGTTCCATACCAAAATGGACGGGGTTTACACTTCATGCGTTTGGTTTGTTTAAAATTTTTAGGGTTGATGGATAAACATAAATAATAAATAAATGTGGAATTTGAGCTAGATTACTACATTTTTAAAAACTTTACAGCATAAAGAACAAAAACAAATCGATTTAATAATTTTACAAATATCTCGAGAAAGGGGCGAGGAAAAAATTTGAAAAATTTAAATTTGCATACATCAAAATTCTCTATAAAAATAAATATTTTTTAATTATTTTTCTTTGAAAAATTTTCACATCAAAATTTTTTGGTAAAAAAATTAATTTTTGAAAATATGCCATCTCAAAAAAAAAAAATT